GGGTACTACTGGGGAACCTAGGACTGGCTTCTATGTGACAAGGAAATGGGATTCTCGGTGTTTCAGCGAATTTGCTAATAGGTACAGTAATATCTGAGTACGGCTGTGGGGTAATTATGCTACAGCCCCCTTTATGAGGATTTAGGGTGTAGGCAGTAGGGTTTATAGAGTGCAGTCTTTGGGGTCGAAAGCTTGGATTTAAAGTGCAAGGGCGATTCCCTCAACCCTAACCCCGGATTGGGGTTTAGGGTGAACTTTACCCTAAATTGCTAAGCAAGGTGCTCAGAAGGTGTCTCGATACAGTCAGGGACCAAGATCGACAGCCCGGTAAGCAAAGACTAAATCCACCCACATTTCATCAACATAGCGAAGTCTTTCGATTGAAACAGTGTTTGGGGTATGCTACAATATCGCTATCATAAAGATAGCTACCCTGTATTACATGCAATGCAACCCCAATAAGCAAATCTTCCGTCTGGCATTCCGAAGTCAACGACGGCTTGCACAAAAAAAGAACATCAACGTACAACACACACATGGGTCCCAGCCAAGTAGTCGCACCCAGCGTTACGGAGAGCATAATCACGTGGACAAACCCTTCTTTTCGTCTGCAGGACGTGCCGAATTGAGCGTCTTGCTAGTTCAGCCACTAAAGCCAAGCAAGGTCCTGGACGGGTCCTACACAAAAAAAGCTAGGAAAATAGTTGGTTGCCTGGAGGTACAAGCTTGCATAAGAAGACTCAGTGAGTCAGCTCCGCTGACCGCTGGTTCTCACTTGTGCTCGTTGGGAAAATGAAAAAACCATGCGTTCACATCGTGCCAGCTGAAAGCTGGGAGGACTTTATATGAGGGCCTTATATAAAACAAACAGGGTTTAGTCGAATCTTCTACTATGATAGCGGAGTCTTGGTAAGTATTCATGCTCTTAGACTAGGCAGCAGTGTTAAACATTCTTCTGGATGAAAGCTCTGAGGTTGGCTTCTCTGGACGGGCCCCTGGGCAGGCTCTCCAACAAGGCCTCAGAAGACTTCCTCGGAGACCAGGGAGACTGTCTGTCTCGCTGCTTCGTGGGCGCCACATCCGCGGCCGAGAGGTCTGACTTCGTCCGCGTTGCACGTTTTCAGCTGGCTGACTGCGTCCCGGACCATAGCGTTTGCATCGAGAATGGAACGTGGCAGTTGCTGCTTGTTCACGTGTGTCACGACCCACCCAAGACTGACTCTGGCAGTGTTATCATAGTCCGAGCGAACATGCGTGACGGTCAAGGGTGTCGTGTCGGAGAATCGAAGCCCCAAGGGTCTTGACTCGAAGTCGACATCCACGTACAAGCCGTTCGGCAGGCGAAAGGTCAGCGTTACTCCGGAAGTTGGAGGTTGTAGGTAATCCTCAATTCCGTCTGATGATTGCGCCCTCTGGTTGATCGGCAATTCCGTTGCTAGGTCAGTATCGCCCAGCTGTTCAGGTGCATCAATGGACTTCGCCAGCTCATCAACGGGAGAAGTTGTAAACCAGTATGATGCGTCCAGGCTCGGGAACAACTCGATCATTCTGTCAGGTTTGACTTCATACTCGGAGCTCTCGTCCAACCCGGCGCAACAGAGAAAACTCATAGCAGGATCCTACGGGAGAGCTCGAAAGCGAACTCCAGTCTCGCCTGCCCGCTTGCCAGATCGACACGAGCAGAAAATCTGCAGAGGGCTACATATATGAAAAGCTTAGCAAGTACCAAGACCCTTTCAGAACCTGTTTCAGAAACCCATACGAGTACATCCCTGATGCGAGCCCTCTAAAACATTACACACAACAGCCTGCTTCCCCTCGTATTTCGTAGAGGTACTTAGCCCCCTAAACCCGAAACTCCAGCAAACCCCTAAACCCCAAAAACCCGAAACTCCAGCAAAACCCTAAACCCCAAAAACCCGAAACTCCAGCAAACCCCTAAAGCCCAAAAACCCGAAACTCCAGCAAACCCCTAAAACCCAAAAACCCTTGTAGGAAAGACGACGAAACCGGAACCGACTCATGGGGCTTAGGGTTTAAGGGTTTGGGGGTTTCAGGGTTTAGGGTTTAAGGGTTTGGGGGTTGAGGGTTTAGGGGGGTTTAGGGTTTAGGGCTTGGGGTTTCGGGGTTCAGGGTTTAGGTTTCTTTTTTTGCACGATCCTTTTCCCCCGCCAGGGTTGGGGGTTTAGGGTTTAAGGGCTTGGGGGTTCAGGGTGCAAAGGGCATAGGCAACATGGGCCATGGATTTTGTTGCAATGGGTATAGGGGATACCAGGTAGCCCTGAACCCTTTGGTGGCATCTGCTTACGAAGTCAAGATTGTTTCCGAGGAACCGCATGCGTTCAGTCGGCTTTTGATGGGGTCCTTCAGTGTTCCAGGTTGGAAATTGAAAACCCTTTGACAAAAGTTCGTAAAGAAAACGACAATCCTCTTGGACCCAACAAGACAAAGTGTAAAGTGTCCCGAAGGCTACCGAGTGTTGATACAATACTGGAGTTCTGCTGTTTCATGTCGGATCACACAAAATACAAACCGTCTGCAATCAAGAGTCTAACACCCTCAAAAGAACCCAAAAGGTTTATATGGTGTGGTATTCGGGCCAAAGAAGCCTTAAGACATGAGTCCTTCCAGCCTTAGGCAAAATTGCAATTTCAGACCCGAAACCACTGATTGGCCGAAGCCCAATTCCGTACTCCCCTAGTACTCAACACTAGTAAGGGCAATTATGGGGGAAGTACTTCGGGTTCCTGGTGAGGGTGTTGAGAGCTGCAAGGAGTGTTGCCGGCGCTTGTGGCCTTTATGGTCGTGGAATTGAATTTGGATACCTCGTAGCAGCCCTAAACCCTAAACCCTAAACTCAAAACCCAAATTCCATCCAACGTCGAGGGGCAATCTTCAACACCGACGACGTCTGCTCGTAGTTGAAGCCCTCGCCGACAGTTGAGACGACGTAGTCGTCTTCGTGCCCTGGGTTTAAGGGTTACAGGCTAGGGTTTAGGGCCCCCCAAATTACCCCAAACCCAAAGGGCCCAAGTATCGTGTGCTCGTAGTAGATATTTGGGCCCCAAAAGTATATACTATACTGTTACTTGGTTGGAACCTTTGGAAAAATTCCAACTAAGAGTACAGCACGGATGTCTGGGGCCCAGTTATCTTCTAGAACCTAACCCTCGCCCCTAAACTCTGCAAACCCTCTGGGTCAGGAGTTTTACCACGCCCTTGGAAACTACTATACCCTTCAAGCTAGGAATCTTCTTGAAATTGCACTTGGATGCTTTTCCATACAATACAACATCCCTTGCAAACCGAATATTATGATTTTGTGCAAATCTCCCTTGAGAAACCTCTCTTGGTTCAGCGATATTTCGGCTGGTGGATTTGGCTTCAACTCTGTAACTCTACGATGAGTCAGTGTATCGTCGAAAACTCGGTGAAGAACTAGCACTAAAACTTCTGATGAAGCAACGTGCTAGACCTTAAATCACAGACCTGCTATACATGCAGGAATAATGCTTAATTGCTGGGTTTGAGGAGTCTCTATTTGAATTTAGCGAACTAGGGCAGATCGGACTCTGCATCGGATGCCCTCGTGATTTCAGTCTGGAGCAAATTTAGTGTTGAGCTTCAAGAAGGATTATGACAGGTCCTTCTCTTTCAATGAAAGTGCCAGGCCCACTGTTGAAGCTAAAATCCGTTATATAGGGCCGTAACAAATACAACAGGGTTCGGGAGTCATAACTATATTTAGAACACCTGCGAATGGCTTGGGTCATTACTAATTACAATATTTCAGCTTTTATGCCCAACCTTAAAGAAACCGTTGCGGGCAAGTAGGAGTAGTAGTAGTAGTAGTAGTAATAATCATAATAATAATAGGTAGCAGCAGCAGCAGCAGCAGCCGCAGGAGCAGTAGCAGTTGTTGTTGTTGTTGCTGAGGCTGGGAACAAAGGTCGGGGATTGAAGGTTCATCCAACGCCTAAGCGCTAAAACCTAAGCCCTCAGGCCGAGATTCCGCCCTTCACATTGCCAGGGCCTTAGCCAATCATTGCTAAGACTCCAAGGTCCCAAAGCCCATACTATAATCCTTATTGTTACTGTGATTCCTCTCATTGCGATTTTAACTATGGTTCCTATGATTGCTGTGATTACTACTATAGCTGAGATGATGAACTATTGCTATTGTCGCTACCCGGAGGGCTTCGGGCTCGATCCTTCAAGGGCTCAGGGCTAAGGATTTGTGAACCCGAAACCCTCTAATTCCTTCTCCAACTTCATGAAGCACCCCCCCCCAGATATTATTTTCAAAGAAAAACCAGCTGGAATCATCCCCGCCTCCGTAAGCCCAGGAAGGTTTAGAAGCAACAAGAACAAGAGAAGGAGTCACCGCAACACAGGAGCAAGAGCAGGAGCAACAGCAAGACCAGGAACAAGATCAAGATACGCAGCAGGAGCAAGAGAAAGCTCCACCAAAAGAGACAGAGATATCCCCCCTAGTAACACAACGACGTCTTGAGTTGCTGTTGGGGGGAGGGCCACTTAATGTCAGGCGGAAGGGCTTATGGCGTAAACCCTAAAACCCTAAACCCTTAAAGTTAAGGATGTTAAATTTAGGGCCCATTCAGATTCGACTGGGCCTAAGCCCCAAGATGTCTTGGGGGAAGTCTTGAAGCAGTCTGCCCGGAATAAATACGCTTCGACGAGCCCAGAGATTTGGGGTGTCGATGTTTTTTGCCTTAAACTCTTTTCTTACTACCAAACTCAAACACCCAAGCCCCAAACCCTAGACCCCAAAACCCCAAAGCCCGAAAGCCCTAAAGCCCTAACCCCCAAAGCCCTAAACCCCTAACCCCCAAAGGCCTCAACCCCAAAGCCTCGAACCCCAAAGCTCCCAAGCCCGAGACCTGAATTCGGATGCTCAAAACCCACAAACGTGACCCAATCCTAAACAGTAACCGTTATAATAAAGTTCGTCAGATCCAGAAGAGAGAGGGAGAGAGAGAGAGAGAGAGACGCAACGCGACTGCTGAGTTCGGAAGTTAATTCTTCAGTGCTTTAAAGTCTTTGGGGCCTGGACCCTAGGATTTCAGGTGGGTTTCAGGGGTTTAGGGTTCAGGGTTTAGGATTTTAGGGGTTTAGGGTGGAGGACCTGCTGCAGAGAGCCGTATGCAAACCCAAACCCGAACAAAAAACAAATAAACAGTCAGATCACTCCATGCATACACATGCATGTTACATACATGTAGTACATAAATACATAAATTGTATACACAAATACATACAGACATACATATATACATTATATACATACATGCATACATACATACGTACATACAGAGACATAAATACGTACATGCGTGCATGCCTGCATACATAGTTTAGACCCTAGGATAAACAGGTTCCCAGAGGTCCCACGGAGCAATACGAGTGCTCATAAGCTGGCTTGCCCACTAATTGCGCAGCGCCCTGATCCTTCAAATGCCCGTGTATCCGCTGGGGAGGTTAAGCTTTAGGGTCTATCAATCCGACCTCCCTGCGCAGACCGACAGAAGCCGAACCCACGATTAGGCCGAGGGATACTACAAAATAGTACACATGACAATGAGAATCATTCGGGGAGCAGCTGCATCAAAGTATAAGAGTACTGCAAATGCATTTGGAGTCAAAGCAGGCTCAAGGTCTCTGTAAGCTCGTAGGTTCGGCCTTGCATGGAAGTCGATGGTTTTGGTGTTAGGCCGTGCAGGGTTAGGGGTTTAGGGGTTTAGGGTGTAGGGTTTTAGGGTTTAGGGCTTGTGGAGACAGTTATGGAAGCTAGCTAAATAAAACATCCGGGGATGCCGAAGCTGGGACAACATTTCCGAAATGGGGTTCCTATTCGAGCACAACATTTTCCTTAAGCATGGGGCTCTACAACTGCACCTGCAGTAAATCGAATGAACTCTGCCATGAGCTCTTTTGGGGTTCACGTGGTGCTTAAAGCTGTGCGAGGAAGGCTCACATTTTGGTGCTCAGATGTGCTAAGATGGACTACAAGTTTCACAAAGAGTGAAAGTGGCATGTTCAGCCTCTAAGCTAATGGATTCTCAAGAGAGTTCAACATTCAGGCCTAAACACTTGGCAAAAGTACTCCCTCCTTGCTCCGATTATATCGTACTCCTTGCCCGAGTCCTATTCCAAGTACGAGGGGCCCTTGTAAGCAAACCCGAAAAACCCTTTTTTGAACGAGGTCTCTCTGAAGTGCCTCCAAGCTAAACTCCTAAACCCTAAATCCTAAACCCTGAGGGTTTAGGGACCCTAAACCCTAAACCCTATGCCCTATACCCTAAACCGGTTTTGTGCTTTAGCGCTCTAGGGTTCCCCAAGCCCCGGCTGGATGCACAGCACTTTTTGTTGCTTGGCTTTCTGCCCAGCCACTTTGTGATTTTCACGGGTTTGTTTGGTGTTTAGGGGACCCCTAAACCCTAAACCCTTAAGGGTTTCGGTCGGAGGTCATCATCACCTCAGCGTGAGCCGTTCGCGTCTGAACCAGCTCACGCCGCTGCCGCGAAAGCTACTCAAAGGCTCCTTAGTAGTTCCTTTTTGGGGTTGGTATTTAGGATCCTATAGGGTAATC